CCCCGTTCCCCGTTCCCCATTCCCCATTCCCATTCCCTGATTCCCCGTTCCCCGTTTTAAAGATAGCCTGAGAAATCGTTGATTTCTAACAGAGGAGAAATTTTATCCATAGTGGACAATTCAATCTCACCTGGTTTCTTTGAACTGACATTGTATCCCAAAAATCTTTTTTAAATTAGCTCTTATGACCATTACTTAATATACTCGCTGTTTGACGCTTTGGATGTTCTGCAATTCTCTGCGAGTCTTCCTTCCGACCCTGTCGCAGAAAATAGAAAAAGTGATCATATCAACCAGGTTAGAAATTTAAGAAATTGGTTAAAAATGTTCCGCTGAATAGTAATACTCCTTCATTAAAGACAGTTTGTTAACGCATAAAAATTCCCGATTCTCAATATCATTTTACACACCTTTTATTTAAAATAAGTACTCCATTCATGCCCAAATAAAAATCCATTTCCCGCTTAAAATAATTGTAAAATGCAACCTCGTTATGTAGAACAAACGGTAAAATCTACACTACTCTTCTTTTACTGTAACTCTTGAATTAAGGAGTAATCAAAGTCCCTCCGAAGGAAGGAGACAGGAGGTAACTTTGCATGTGTGTTGACAGCTAATGTTAGCTCAAGACTAAGCCTGCTGGTGGTTATGTTATTAAAAGTCTCTATATGGCTTACCTTGATTAAAATCTCCTTGCCGGGTTATAACCTCTGTTTCGAGAAATCGCGTCTTATCTACACTGACTTGCATTAACTTATATTCCATGACATTAGAAGACACGCCTTTAAGGCTGAGCACATACCATCACGGAACTAGTTGCGAAACGAGTTTATAGCACACAGACGTGAACTTCTATTGTTATAAAGTGCTGATCATTTTGACTCTTTACACATGGCGCAGTTTGTGTATTTTACTGTTTTGTTGGTGTTTTGTGGAACAGGGGACTCACTGGAAACCACTACCAGCCCTCAACAACAAAATACTGGCGATACCAAGGACTTATGTGAGGTACAAAGTTGAATATCAATTGCCTCTTTTAAAGAAAATGAACCTGTTGAATATGAGATGTAAAGATATTTTGTATGATTTACAGTGTTTCTCATTTCTATCAGCTCAGTTTCGGATTGAGGAGAAAAGGTTTACATTTCTAGTCCCAAATCGAGGCTGAACTCTCAGATAAGTTAGGCAAAGCGATGTAAGAATGTTTGCTGCCTAAGTCATTGTAAATTATCTCAAGGAATTTTGATGATCTCGGTGTTGCTCTCACCAAGAGTCGGCTTCGCAAACAAACAAACATTGTTATCAGAATTAGAGGAACATATTTGACCTAATTAAGAGAGGTGCAGGCTGACATTCTATATGTCTGATGTAGATATCAAGAACGTGACTATTGTGTCTAAATTGAGGGGATTTTTTCTCGTTAAAGCAGACCTGCAAAGCCACAATTCAAATGACAGACACGCTGACACTGAAATAACAAGTGACTGATACCGCTGAGGCAGTAAGAGACAAAAATGCAGATTGTTTTTCATCCAGAAATATATATGGACATATATAAGAAACATTTTGTTCTCGTGTTGTTTAAGTTTAAAATTGTGCATGTTTTGCTTTTTTGTTAGAAATAACTCATAGATAATTCTTCAAAGAAACGTCTGTGCCACTCCCAGTAAGAATCTGCTTCACAAATGAGCAAACATTTGTTATGTAAGAATTAGAGGAACATATTTGACCGATTAAGAAATAGCCGATCAAGAACGTGACTATTGTCTTAAAATTGACAGGATTTTTTCTTGTCGAAGCAGTCCCGCAAGGTCAGAAGTCTAATGACAGACCCACTGACATTAACATCACTGTTAGAACGAGTCAATGATATCGCTGAGGCAGTAAGAGACAAAAATGCAGATTGTTTTTTTTTTTTATGCCACTCTATCTATCAGCATAAGAAACATTTTGTTCTCATGTTGTTTAAGTTTCACACTGTGTTTCTTAGTCCAATGAATGTATTTGTTGCTTTGCTCTTAGAAATCCATATCTACCCATGGATTTCCGGGTATTCCAGGATCCAGTGGTATGCCGGGAATGCCTGGCATTCCGGGGCCACAAGGACCGCAGGGAAGAGATGGAGTTAAAGGACAGACTGGTGACAAGGGATTGCAAGGAATGCTGGGACAAAAGGGAGCGAAAGGAAATGAAGGCCCTCGTGGGAAGAGCGGACCGCCAGGAATGATGGGAATAAAAGGAGCGCGGGGAACTGTGGGCGATCAAGGAATAAAAGGCGATAAGGGAGAGAAAGGAGAAAGCGTGACAAGTCCTTCTAGTGCAGTGCCACAAACCAACTGGAAACAATGTGTGTGGAAAAATCTGAATGAGGGTCGAGATAGCGGTAAGATCAAGGTAAGAGAGAAATGTTCCGATTGTCAATGGTTATGAGCAAAATTAGTATTATCATCTGATGTAAGTTAAACTTCAGATTCAGAATCCGAGAAGGATTTATGTCAGAGAGAATCATGCTGTTATTAACCGAAGTATTTTGTCAGCTGGATTCATATCATGCTGACGAAACTGATATTACATTTTTAAGATAATGAGAAGTGGAATGGTGACTTGCGTATTGGAGTACTGAGCATCCATTCTCATTTATTCTTTTATCATTACTTAGCAAGACAAATGTGACATAAGAATCTCTGTTACGTCCACATACTACGTAAGGAAGAATCGTCGAAAACTCAGAAACTTCATACCATCATACTAGATACACAATTCCAGTCCAAAGATAGGTCGAAGCCCAGGTTTTCTACAATAATAAACCAAAAACATGAGAATCAGTGAAAAATAGAGCCAATAAGCCAAAAATAACACGCACAAAACCCTTACCGACTGTTTCGTTCTAAACAGGTAAACAATACGGCATGATAATAAAACACCTACGTCTACTTCTTTAGTTCAGCTATTTGGTGTTCAAATTTGGCGACTCAAAAATTCAACCAAGAGCAAGCTTTCTAACACGTGACCAAGCACGCCGGATGAGGGTCCGCAATAGGTGCGCAACGATTGTACCACCTTACAGAGTATAAGCAGGAGCCATAATCGGGGACGGAGACCGTAAGTCTCGGGATTCGCGTGCACCTATGATTTGGGACAATTTTTCTATTTTTAGAACAAATTGCGCCATCCTGACGTCATATATCCGCGCGGATTCACGCGCGTATCGGGGGCTCTCGCGTGGATGTTGTCACGTTGTGTGATCAAATGGTGAGAGTTGAGAGATTCTTTTGCGTATTTTTCACAGCGATGGCAGGGAATAAG